TATGTATATATTCTTAAGTTTTCATACAAACAGGTATACAAACAGATCCCCCCTGATACCTCCAGCTCAAACACACCCCAACCCAGATGAAGCCTAGCTTCCTAACTAATGATAGCCGTCCATTTACTCGGAGCCAAGCTGCACTAAAGGCCTCCAATAAAGTAATACAATGTTGCCAGCCAATCAAGATACAAAAAGAGCCAAAAAACAGACAGAAGATATTAGAAACACCAATCAAGCAGAACACAGCAAACTCCAAGACCAATAAACACAGACCAAGACTCCCAACCAATCAGGGTGAAGAAAAAACCATTCTGGCACAGCAATAGGCTACCCCAAATTTAAATCTGAAACCACTGTAAAAGTCTGACTCACAGATGAACACAATACAGAAGCCTGATGATGGCAGATGAGATTCTGCCGAAACGTTGCTACAACTTTAAAAGCACAACTACAATGACGTGGGAAAATACCCGAACAAAGCTGAATGATATATATATATATATATAATTTTTCTTATATGTATCCATGTATTCATAACTATGTTTTTACTTATACCTATTATCTTGTAAGCAATTAACAAATATAAATAAAAAAATAAATATGTGATCTGTTGTTGCTTTCTTCTTGTTATGATCCATGGGGTCAACCCTGACTCTTGGTAGCTATAAAGACATGTCCCTTCCATTTTCTTGGGAACATTTTCAGAGCTGGCTTGCCACTACCTTCTTCTTAGGGCTGACAGAGAATAACTAGTCCAAAGTTGCTTCTGTGAATAAAGCAAGACTTGAATTCATGCTCTCCTGGCTTCTAATCCAGCACTTTTAACTCCTAGACATCCTGGCTTTGCCTTCCTATCGGATTTCCTCCCCGCACACACACCTTTCTACTCCGGTGTATAGCTCTTGGGATGTCCTGCTGATCCATTCAAGCCCAGCTTGGCTTAGCTTCTTCTATCATCATTTCAATAAATAGAAACCTGGATAGTACGATGCTCAGAAAATAAATTTAATGAATATTAACTATAAAACTACTTCCTAATCCCTTTTGGCCATTGCATATTTTGGCCTGGAAATAGTCAGTTGCCAAGAATCAGTGCTATGTATTAAACTCGCACCTTAATATGATTGTACTGTTTGTTCAACAGCAATTGGCAAAGAAGTATATTTCATGACAACAAGCAAGCCACAATGCTATTTTTTCCCATCTGTTTCCTCATCAATTTTTCAATTAAAATCTGTTGGAAAAGTAATCTTGTGA